CTACATGCTCGTTGTTGGGCACCGATTGGTTACGCGGGGTCACCAGAGACCGCGGAAAAAAAGTTGGATGCAGTTCTGCATGTTGGCCACACGAGGGCAGCACAGACAGCAAAAAAAACCTTCGTTGCAGTTCCCCACATTGGCCACACGAGGGCAGCAGAGAGACGGCGGAAAAAACTTCGCTGCACTTCCGCAAATCGGCCACACGAGGGCAGAAGAGACCACGGAAAAAACTTCGTTGCAGTTCCGCAAATCGGCCACACGAGGGCAGCACAGAGAGCGGAAAAAAATTCCCTGGGCGTCCAGGCGGTTCTGGAATATCTCCAGACAAGAAGCCACAGCCTCCCTGGGGAGCCTGTTCCAGAGCTGCGCCATCCTCACCGTGAAGAACTCCCTTCTCGTCCCCGGGCGGAACTTCCCGTGCTCCACTTTACAGCTATTTCCCCTTGCTTGGGGCCGCGCAGGGCTCCTCTCCCTGTCCCGCACACCTCCGCACAGCTCTCCCGCAACACCTCCGGCGGAGCTGCCCTCAGCACTCGCTCCCGTCGCTCTGCGGCTTCCGCCTCGCTGCTGCCCGGACAGCAACGGCTGCCACTGAGGTCTTCCGCGCCTCCAACAGCCGGCCCCCAACGCCCGCTCCCCCGCACGGCAGCTCAGCCAATCACAGCCAGCGGAGCAACCGCAGATCAAGGAACCCCCGGGGGAGGGGGCAGCGCTACCGCTGACCAATGAGAGACTGGTGGGGGGGGGGATAGCGCTGCCGCTGACGAATAAGAGGCAGGCGGGGGCGGGACAGCATTGCCGCTGACCAATGAGAGGCCGGGTCTGAATGAGCTCGTCCTGCCGCAGCGTGATGGTAACAGGGCTGCAGATGATCTGCGCAGGGAGCTTGGAGGTTGGGAGGCAGGAACGGACGCGGCCGGAGGAGACAGGTGTTAGGGAGCAGCCAAGGCATCACAGTGCATCAAAAAGCCCTGAAAGGCATCACAAAGCCACCGCCAGGAAGCTTGGGGTTATCACGAGCAGCATCCAGGCTGCTAGAGATTATTTGCTACCGTACCAAATGGGAGCTGCAGACACCCCAAAGCCAGACAAAACGGGAACTAACCCCAAGCTCTGCTTCGTGCACCCCTTAGCTTCAGCAGTGCAAGCTGAGGTGCCTTGCTGTGTGCCGCATTCATCCCAGTCCTCGTGAATGAAGACTCCTCAGGCAGTCAAGGCGTTGAGTGAGCACAAGTGTGCTTTTATTATTAAAGGAAAAGACAGGAGGGCGTGAGAGGTCCGGGTAAAGATGGGAATCGTCCTCTCTTGGATGGAAAGGTCACGGAGAGAGTGGCTTAGAGCTCTCAGAGCCGCTGCACGGTGCCTGGGACTGGAGGCCTGATTCTAAGCCCCCCTCCAAGAGGCTCTGCTGCTCCTCGCTGATGCTGACCTGCTCCTGCACAGAGGTGCTGCTGTTGGGGCACTCAGGCTGTGCTTGGGCTGGGCTGCACTGCAGAGGCACTGGGTCACAGTCCAGGCTGCCTGTGGTGTCTGGCAGGCTCAGGTCAGCATCTTCAGCACAGCCGGGAGAAATGAGGGCTTGGACTTGGATGAGCTCCTTCTCTCCATCACTGTTGTTATGCGGCAGGCTGTCATCTGAACCACAGCCATTTGTGCTTCCTAACAGCTCTTCATTGCTGGAAGCACACAGCCCAGCATCGCTACTTGCTCTGGCACATCTGGGTTGACAAGAGCTCAAATCACCTATAAAAGAATGAACAGGGGTTGGTGTCCAACTCTCACAAGCGGAATTACAAAAGTGGTTCTTGATCAGGGGAGAACTGAAGGTGTCAGATATGGGCTGGAACGCTAGAAGGAGATACAAGCCCACTGACAGCAAAAATTCTACGTTGCTGAGAAGCAGGGTGTTGAAAGCAGGATTAGCACCCTTACCTGCCAGGACTACAACGTCTGTCTCTGAGGGCTCCCTGGGACGGCGCTGCGGTTGGCGTTTAGCCACGGAGGATGGTCTTCCCAGGCTGAAGCAGGAACACCAACAGCCAGCTGGTGATTCCTTCATCCTGCCCAGTGGACTTGGTCTGGAGAGAAGAAACAGGGAATGGTGTGAGTTGTGCATGGAACTCCAAAAGCATCTCTGACAGCTCATCGGCCCCATCTCACTGCCATGTCTAGTTTCTCGTGCCAGCAGGTCTGACCAACAGCTCTGCTTTGAGGAGAACTGGAATTGGATTCAGGCACGTGGCCCTGAAGTCGGAAAACCCCAACGTTTCCAGGTACAGCCAGCACAGGCCAGGACAGACGTCAGCGTGGCTTCATGCAGCTCGTGACTGCCTGCCCAGCAAGGAGGGTATGCCAGCCCTGTGTGGCTAAACTCAGCCCGGCGGGCAACTGAATGTGAGTTCTGTCTCACAGTGCAAAGGGAGTGGAGATTCACTGCAACACTTCAGGCACCATCAGTTTAACTGAGTTTCAGCAAGCTTTGGCACTAGAAATAATGGGGGGAAAAAAAACACAACACAAAAAGAAACCACTAAAACCCACCCAAACAATGATGATAAGGTACTGGAAAAGGAAGTCCTCTTTACCTTTCAGATGGAAAGTCGATGACTGTGTGGAATTTCCCCCGTACAGCTGTGGGGCCTTCTTCCACCTCTATGTCCCTGCTCTGTGTCACAGTGACAGGAGAGCTGCTGTGGCCTCGCCTCCGTGCCTGCGCCTCCTCCAGGCTGAGCAGCTCTGTGGCAGGAGAAGACGCCCGCACAGACTGGGGCCCTGAGAGAGAACTGTGCCCTGGAAGGGAAAACCACAGGTGAGAGCCAGGATCAGAAAGCGGCAGCACAGCCATCGCAGGTCCGGGGGAGCTGCTGTGTTTCTCTCAGACTTGCTTATCCGAGCCGCTGCAAGAAGAGCAGCTCAAAATAACCATGTGCTCAGAGGTGTGTCTATGGCAAAGGACGCAGTCATAATTAGGAGCAGCTCCCTGTATCGAAACAGGCAAACAAAATCCCTAGAAAATGGGGGCAGGGAACTGAGAAAGCTTCGCTGCCACACTTTCACCAAGCTTCACCTGCTTGTAAAACATCATAATGACAGTGATGGTTTTTTCTCCTTGTCACGTTTGGGCTTGCACATTCTCAGCATCCAGCAACTGGATGCCAGATTCCAATCTAAGCCCAGAAGTCTGCTGTCCCCTCGACAGGAAAAGTGTATTTCAAAGGACTTGGAGAAGGCCTGCATTTGATCCAGGTGTCTGACCAAGATGAAGCTAATGGAGGAAGACACTCACCTGCTCCATCTGCGATGTCAGGTCCAGATGTGGAGCAGAAGAGGACGTCTGTGTGGTCAATGATGAATTCCACCACAGCCGACTGCGTCTGCAGTTCCATGCAGGCAGCTCTCCCGCTGGCGCAGGCAGACTCGCTCTGCTGTGATCTGTAGAAAAGGCAGGTTTTAGAAGTCATTCAGCCAAGATCGCTTCCCCAAGTCTGAACTGTTGCAGCCCAAAGCTGTCAAACTGGGCTCTGGAGACTTCTGCAGTAGGCAATCAGTGATGCCACTGAAGAAGTTCTCCTGGCTGATCAAGGACACACCAGTCCCATCTAAACAAGAGAGCAGCAATGCTCAGCTAGAAATTGTGCCCGTGGGGTTGGAGAACAGTCCGGCTCCTGCTCTGCTGTCAGCCACTCACTACAGATTTTACAGGAGAAGAGCACATGTGGTGCAGAAGAAGGAAGGATTGCTTTATTTTACTTGAGAACAGATGTAAGCATTCTGTAGAAATGGAAAAAGAAGTTCACCTTAAGAGGTTTGGAGCCCACACAATGGCTAAGTTCTTCGCATGCATGTTTGTGGTGGAGCAGTGCCCAGCCAGACAGGCCAAGTGTCTCATCAGATACGCCAGGGTCCTGGGAAACAAGAGCAGCAAATGTTCAGCACCAGCCAGCATGCCGTGCTGCGACTCACAAAGCAAACCTCACTTCGTGCTAGTTGCTATTATTGCTACTGTCGCTGAAGATGAAGTAGATCCAACTTGACCAAGTGCCACGCTGCAGCACCAAGCCCCAGCACAGCACAGCCACAGCCATCAGCTGCACCAAGCGTGCCCCTGTGCCCAGGAACTCACCCCACAAATTAACCCCGCATAGCCTTCAACCGCTTCAACATACCCAGGCATCGTGTTGCTCGCGTGAGACAAAGCCTGGAATCGCACCATTGCCCTCTGAAGTGCAGCAGGGCTGAGCTCAGCAGGCTGAGGGCAGCACTGACCTGTAGTGAGGAGCGGGCAGCTGCTGGATGACGTCCCGCATTCTGACCAGCTGCTCCTCCTCTGTAGTGGCACCAACAGCATCCTGGAAAAGTGCAGAAAGGGATTGAGACACAAATCAGGGGAGATACCTGCCGCAGGGTCGGGAACCATGGGCACAGCGCGCTGCTGGTCAACACAGGGACAGATTTTAGGCCTTCCAAGAGGCCTCTGGGGAACACAGCGGCACGCAGCTGGTGCCACCAAGGCGAAGGAGTCCAAGCTCCGGGCCGGTTTACAGCCTGGTTGGGCAGCTCAGCTCCTCGCAGGGGGCATTCATCTCCAAGTACCCTTGGCTATTAATCCCATTCCCGTTCCAGAAAGAGTTGGGGAATAGAAAAAGAAAAAAACAACAAAAAACAAGAAAAAACAACAATGCAGGAATTCTCGCAAGCATTATGAATATGGAAATAACCACCTCCGGGGACCACCAGAAGCGGCATCAGCACGATGCAGGATGTGGCAAAGACATGCGAGTAAACCCCATGGGGCTAACAGAAGAAGGGCCTCAGAGCTGGGGCACTGCTGCAGCCATCTCCCAAGAGGCCCAGCGAAGAGGGAAAGGAAAGGCGTTGCCTCGTGCTTACCGAGAACTTGTCGTACAGCTGGTCGGTCAGCAGGGGGGTCGGGAGCTCCCTGAAGTACATTTTGCAGAGGGAGCTCGCGCTGTGAACGTCGCGGACGGTTAGCTCAGGAACCTGCTCAGACTCAAATTCCTGGCTGCAGAGAAGGACACGAAAATGGTTGAGAAAGAGGAAAGCAAGTCAAAAGCCACACCCAATGCAATCAAGAATTGGAAGGGCTTCCTGATGTACAGGAGAACACAAACACTCGGCCACCAGCACCACGTCAGCCGTGCTGGATGGGATGTTCCCAAAGGAGACCTTTCCTTTGTGCTAAGGCATTGCCCGCAGGCCTCTGAACGCCCGCAACAGGGCACGTGCCCCTGCTGGCAGCTGTGTCTGTCAGTCGCAGCACTCTTACCGCAGTCTCTGGACGTTGGACGCCACGCCGGACAGGCGGTATATCCCCTGCACCACGCCATGCTGCTCGATGAACTCGGCGCAGCTCTGGAGGACCTGGGGGACTAAAGAACACATGCCGGTGGTTACTGGAGCTCCTTAGTCAAGTCCTGCCTCAGGCTGCGCTCCCGTCACATCCCATCCACTAAGCCCAGCTGGGCTTGGCTGAAGCAAATACAAACGTGCTTGTCTCTTGGGAGCATTAGCCTCACTTCATCTTTCAGCCATCAACTCCCATTCCCCATTTCTCCACCGGTATCAACCTGCCCCTGGCTAGATATCATCTCCCTTTCATCTTTCGATTCCCAGCCGAGGAAGCTCTCAGGAATGGGCTGTCCCTTACCATCACGACCAGAGTGGAGAAGATGCTCTCCCAGGTCACGGCCAAACACCCTCTCCTTCTCCACCTCCCAATCTTTCGGTTGCTTTGAGCGGGCCTTCACCACGGAACGAAGGAAGGTGAGGAGCTTGCCGCGCTTCTTGGGCACTGCACAACAAAAGGAAGAAACCAGTTCATCTCAGGTTCAGCTCAGTTGGACGAGGCCGAGCACAACACATTCTACAGAGCACGTCAAAACAGGAACATTACCAACAAGTATACACACAAAAATGGATTTTTCCCCCATCCCTGCTGGAGGAGTCCAAGGCCAGGTTGGACGGGGCCCTGGTCAGTGGGGTCTCATCTCACATTAAATGTGGAGCTTGGTTGGCAGCCCAGCTTGAAGCAGGGGGTTGGAGCTTGGTGATCCTTGAGCTCCCTTCCCTGCCAAGCAATCCTACAAGGATTCTAGGATTTCCCCAACTCCAGTCATAAAACACAGGAGGACTGGGCCAAATCTCTGCACGTTCTGATGGAGTTTAATGCACTTTCTTGCTTAGCTTGCTCAACCTGGGCATTAAGGACCCTCTTGAAAAGCCACGTTCTGATCAAGCGTGTCACTAGCACAACCAGACCTCTATCTGTCCACCAGGGACACTGGCTGCTCTCAGCCTCGTACTGACTTGCAGGAGAACTGCCTTTGCCTTCCCTCATTCTCACTGCCTACAAAACACCAGCCATACGCCCCGTGCTATGCATGAAGAATCATCAGCACAGAGGATAAGGGGGGAAGGATAAGGGAGGTATTAAACACGGAACACACCCAAAAAAGACTCCATTTTGCTTCCCTGCACCATCAAATGTATCATCGTACCTGGCTTTGGCACTGAATTGATGAGACTCTCTGGGATTTTTCCGTTAATGAGCTCCACACACTCACCAGGGAAAAATCCAACCTGTAACAAGAACAGAGGTGCGATACTGAAGGCAGCGTTTCTCAGGCCTGAACTGTTCAAACATTACATTTTCCTCATAATGTGCCTGCCGGAGGCTCCGTAAGACAGTCCAAATAAAAAAATGGCCTGCTTAAAATTAATGATTATTCAAAATTTGCAGGCAAATATCCATGAAACTGTGTATGCAGTGGGGAAAGGACAAGTATGCTATGCACTCCTAAATCTCAACCGTGCCCAAAGGGAAAGAGTTCATACAGAAGCTATATATTATGATAGATTGATGCATCTGTATCTGAGTTAGCACAGCCTATGAACTTTCTGCTTGCTGACTGAGATGCAGCTGCCATCCCCAGCTCTGAGCCACCCAGCGTTCTGCAGCCAGCAGCAGCAGCAAGCGCGCAGAGGCTCTGTCACCCCCTGCCTCGGCTGACAGGCCGTAACTTCCTTAAAGACACTGACTTCATGTGTGTTCCGCACGGGTGCAAACACAGATGCTCAGAGACACTGAAACACGTGTCCTAAAAAGCTGCTGCATTTCTAAAGGTGCGGTTCAGTGGCCATGACCTGATGCATGCTGTGAGGGCTCTTCTTTCTAAGTTAACTGAGGAGGCAGTTTCCTACAAAGACCAACTTTCAGCTCTGGCCCAAGCCCACAGCAAAAGGGAAAGTCCTCTGACACCAGCACAGGGAAACCATTTTCCATGTGGAGCCATGCTGTGCAGGCAGGGCAGCTCTAAGCTGAGATTCCCGCCTCGACCGAAGTTGCGCTCTCATGTCTGAAGCTTGGGCCTACCTGAAAGCCGTGCTTGCCTCTCCAGCGGGGGCTCAGCTCCTGAGGCGGCATCTCAATGACGCACACGAGGTCTCCCACCTGCAAGAGATTGCAACATCAATCCCAGCTTCGGCACAGCTGGGAGGAAAGCGCAGCTCAAATGACTGCATTCTTCTGCACTGCCCAATATCGTCAAGCTTGAGAGCCATTGCACCAGTGCAGCTCTTCAGGCATTTGCCGTCGTGCAACTGAACGTGGAGGTAGAAGAGTCACTCCAATACACAACATACAGAATTCAGCTGTTCAGTATGAAATGGTTCTCAGAAGCAGCAGGCTCTTTGCCAAAGGGAGAGCTCCAATTAAACCGCAGGCGTAAGTCAGCGGAACAGAGCCTGAACAGATCTGCACACTCCATACACTGCTCTGCCATTGCTCAGAGACCAGGCTACCACACCGGGGAGTAGCTCTTTGATCAGAAGATCCAAATGCCAAATAGAGCCATAGTTTAGAGATGGCTGAACTCCTCCCTGCATCCAACCCAGTGCAAGTCTGATCTGGAACTGAATCTTCTGGGCTTCACCTCACCAAACATTCGGAAGGTGTCTGAGAATATTCCTGATAGCTTCACATGTTATACTCTTCTGTACATGACAACAAGGAACGTCCTTAACTGCTTACCTCCAAGGAGAGTTCACCCGGTGCCTGGGCAACGTATCTCTTAATAACGTGGGCAGCAGCAATAGCTGGGATATTAAGAGATGACTCCTCACGGACCAGCAGGGGCTTCCCGTTGTTCTCAGCCTGAAACAGAGAGCACAGGCCATGGTGAGGAGCTGAGGGCTGCAAGGAGGATTTCAGGGTGAGGAGCACATCGGCAGAGAAAGCTGCAGGAAATGCACTCGGTCCTTATCATGAGTGCTTAACAAGAAACTGCAAGTCTAATAACAGCTGTTTCTCTTTCCAGTGCGCAGCACTATCGCCAGGCAGTGCAAAGATGCATCTCTCTCTACCCAGACTAAGAGGACAAACTCCACAACTGAGACGGCTCCAGCAGTTTCATAAACTTGCCACGCTTGCACTACTGCCTTCCCAAAGAGGAACGTAAGAGTCTGCTCACTTCCTGTCACCCATTGCCTGGAGACCTCAGCTGTGGACTGGACACAGCAGCCGGTCCACTGACCCAATCCTTGGCTCATTACAAGTGCCACCTTCCTTGAACTTGCTGAATATGAGAACAGCACTTTGTCTGTGGGTGACAACATCCAGGCAGGACGGGGAAAATGCTTCTGCACATTTAGAACACCGGATCTGATTCTGTTGGTACTATGACTTCCACAGCCATCTAGATGCCTGCCACAAGGACATGAAGCTTTTAAGGCAGCTTTTCAGTGACACTGATAGAGCCACAAGGATTCGTTCTCTCTTGAAAAGCAGGAGAGCACATCTGCAGCTCACTCTGCTGGCTCACGTTAGGGAACAAAGACCAATCAGAGCTTCATACTCTACCTCCATCTGTGCCATGTCAGGCCCACAGCTGATCTCGCTGCACGCGACGCCCATCACAGCAGGCACGTCAAGCTGGAATGAAAAGAAACACACTCATATTTTCTCTGGTCACACACCACGCTATTGAGAGACTTCCTCATAACTACCCTCAGTTACCCACTGGCATAGGCAGGTGTTCTAGAAACAGCCACTTTGTTCAGTCAAATCAAACGAGACAGCCTATTAGGCAGCATTTGACCAAGCGGCTATCCCTCTGCTAGCAGATAGGGACTGGCACAAAGCAGCAGGTGCTCAGAGCACTCCGACAGCGCAGCAGCAGGGCAGTGAGAGGAGTCACTGCTGGGGGTGGATCTGCTCCCCAGCCCCCGGCTCCCACCAGCCTCACGTCCAGCGCTGGCCGCAGCCTCGCACATGGATTTCCTCTGCTCACATCTCTGCTGTGCTCCCCACAGCTGCCGGGCACACTCACGCAGCCGAAGCACGCGTGCTTGTGTCCCTGGGTCATGCTGTGCAGCTCGGCACAAACTGGGGCAAGCACTCTTTGCCTAAGGGATTGGTTTCCTTCAGACCAGCTGGTCACAGCACCACACACAGCATCCTTCTGAGGGCGGAGATGGAGGGGAAGTGGAAAAAACCCACACGGGACCAGTGTCCCATCAAAGCTGGGTGAGGCTGTGTTACCAAACATGGTGCGACACAGGCTGCTAAACCGTGTGGGGGGACAAAGCGTGGCACGTACCTGGCAGGAGATCAGAACGAGGTAGACAATTCCTTGAACTCGCAGCTGTTTCTTGTCACTTTGCTCTGTTCTTCCACGAGAGAAAGCTGCACCAAGGGAGCGGGTAGAGGAGAGAGAAGGAACAGGTCTGTGAGCTTGCACAATGGAGCAAAGACAACAAGGGAAAAGCCATGGGACAAATGCCATCTTTGTGGATCGCTTGGGAATGCAGGTACTGGCTGAAAGTTACGTCTGATGGACAAGAGTAAGCAGTACGAGCTGCTAGGAGCTCCACCAGCCAGCAGTTTTCAACAGCTCACTGCCCACCCCTCTATCCCACGCCCTGTCTCAGCTTACCTACAAGATGCTGCACAAGACACAAGGGGTGAAAACGACGCACTCAGTCGCTGCACAAGGGCAACAAGCGAGCTACTCACGCAGAGCTCAAGCGCTCCAATGAAGGGACGCAGCACGCACTGCTCCTCCCCTCATTCCAGCCTCTTGTGACATCACTAAGGGCCACCAGGCTGCTCCGCCATGACGACAGGGTGGGGAGGCAAGACCATGTCACAGGACCAGAAGATTCCAACACCGCACCCAACATTCTAGAATCAGCGGGCGGTTGGAATTCTACCTCAGCCCAATCCTGCAGAAGCTGCCATGCGGTTGTCATGACCACAGCGCAGGACCCAGCACTTGCTTCCGTGCAGCCTCGTACAGCTGGCCTCAGGCCGTTCCTCTGCAGGGCCTTCCTGCCCTCGGGCAGATGGACATTGCTTCCCAACAGCGTACCTCGCAGCGCAGGGCCTATGTACAATCCACACTGCAGTCCTATAGATCTGTATCAAGCTATCTATACCCAGACACACAGTCACCACTACCATCTTCTTTCTCAGTCTTGAGGTACACCATTCAGCGGTTTCATTGCCATCAAACAACCCCACTGACGGCACACTGCTGACACAACGTCCTTGCAAACACAGCAGCAACTCCTGGCACCGACAGCTCCGGGTACAACAAGCACAGGGCTCTGGGTTGCTTTGGATGCAGTTGCAGCATGGATCTGAGGGCTTTGTGCAAGGGGATATATTGCAAATGGCACCGACGTTTTCAGACCATTTCTCTTTCGGCATGGTCCCAGCACCTGGCATGCTGATCATCATCCTGAATATACATTTTGTCAAAGTTCTACAACTAATGAAATAGTTCCTTACCAAACGCAATCTGATCACTCTTCTGGCCGTATTTTGTTCCAGCTACCGCTTCCTGCGGGTGGCACCAATAGCGCTGCATCACCTATAGCTCTCTGCTCTTACAGTTCTCATGCTGTCTGGGCAGTCCTCGTGGCCTCACAACTCTCTCATTCCACACTCTGAGGCACAGAAGATATATCGCACTACTTCAAAATGCCTTTTTTTTTTTTTTTAATACAATGATACTAGGGATAATTATCTGGAGCTAGAGCATTATGAAAAAATTCCCTTTATTTCAACCATAAGTCTGCCCCATGGACTCCAGAAGAGCTCTAAGAATATGCAGGGTGGACATAGATGGCAGCTGCCATAACAGTAAGCAATGAAAAATGAGGTTGTGAGCCATGCTGTGTCATTGCATCTGCAGGCAGGGATTTCTCCTTGGACTGAGCAGAGTGCAGATGTCGCCTGAGAAAAGAACTTAGGATCATTCAGGAAAAGCAAATGAGTTGAGTAATTAATTGAAGAAACTCACGTTCTAAAGGTACTTAGAAGGAGAGAGTATTTCCCAACAGAATGGGTTTAACTGTCCATTCCCTGTTTTGTTAGACAGGTCTACTCTATGTATGCTTAGACTGACCTGAGAGGGCATGCTTCAGCACACCCCACACCACTGCATTAGAGTGTGCTTTTGTGCACACGTGGATCTAGAGACATCGCTAAGAATTTAATTGGTCCACCCAATCCTTAAGCAACTCAGTAATTCAAGACACCTAACAAGGATGGAGGCTCACTGGGCCATGGGCAAAGCAGGGAGGAAAGAGGCAGGAAGCAGGAAGGAGTTCAACTCCAGCTCTCCCCCACAAGAGACTGGGAGAGCTGAGTCAGCACCACAGGAGGAGTTACGACACGGCTTGGGAGCTTACAGAGACCTGAGATTGCCAAAGGACGGCGCCAGGGTAACTCTCACCAGTCCTGTGCAGGGGTTTCATGGATGCTTGGGATGCTGACTTCCACTGCCTGTGTCATTGGTAGGAAGTCCAGGTGACAAAGGCTCCTTCTGTCTGGGTAACGCTTCTATGGTTCCATGGTTATGACTGGAAAAAAATTAAAAATTAAAATTTAAAAAAAAAAAAAAAAATAGCATGCAACGTTATAAAATTTACCTCTCTGCTCTTCTTGTCAGCACGACATCTAAGATGAGCATTACACGTCCCTGCATCTGATTGAAAAGACATCCAAGCCTATGTTCCACACAGCTTCATCTCAGTGCCAAGAAGAAACACACACACAGACGTTTACAAGATTCTTTGCACAGATGAAAAGCATGGGGTGCACGTGTATTCTCTTCAGTAATAAATGGTAATGTAGAATCCAAAGGTAACTTCTCAAGAACTAGATGAAAGAAAGAACAATGAAAAGGAAATACGGGATTAACTATTTTCATCTAAAAAAATCCTTGCTAAACCTCTCCCCTTACACCTAACACTGCAAAACTTGGCACATTCTTTTTGTCCACAGGCCCTTCATTTCTCTAACTGGTGTCAGATTCACTCAAAATACATGCACCAGAACGGCCATTCAGTCCTGCTGAGGTAGGAACCCACTGCTGGGATGTCCCCCAGTCCCGTTCCCTGCTATTTCCAGCATCGGGGGGGGGGAAAGGAAGAGCAACTGACTTCACCTACCCAGGCTTCCGCGAGGCCTTCGATACAGCCACACATCACAGGGAGAAGCATGGGGGAGAGCTCTGGTGGCTGCACAAACCAAGGTTGCCCCTACGATGGTGCTTTATAACAACATGCCTTACTGCACATGAGACACGAAAGACAAGGTTAAGGTTAAAAAGACTCCACTCTCCGTGGATGTGGCTGTCTGCACAGACAACAGCCGCCTACTGTCCAGCAGCCTGATGCTCACCCACCAAAGCTCTCACCAGCAGATGCCTTTCATGGAAACATAAAATTAGCAAGGTTGGAAAAGATCTCTAAGATCATCCAGTCCAACTGTCCACCTTTCCCACTAAGCCCCTTATGTCCTTCAGGACAACATCTAATGTTTCTTGAACACCTGCAGGGACAGTAACTCTATCACCAATCTGGGCAGCCCGTTCCAGCGTCGGACCACTCCTGTGGAGAAGTGTTTCTTAACATCCAGCCTCAATCTCCCCTCGTGCAACTTGAGGCCGTTCCCCCCAGTCCTATCACTGCTTACATGGGAGAAGAGGATGAGCCCTACCTCGACATGACCTCTCTTCAGCTAACTGTAGAGAGGGATAAGGTCTGCCCTGAGCCTCCTCTTCCCCAGACTAAATAATCCCCATTCCCTCAGCTGTCTCCACATAACACTTGTGCTCTACACTCCTCACAGCTTCACTGCTCTTCTCTGGACACATTTCAGGGTTCCAATGTCTTTCATGTAGTGAGGGACCCAGAACTGAACACAGCACTCAAGGTGAGGGCTCATCAGAGCTGAGTACAGGGGATGATCACATCCCTGCTCCTGCTGGCTCCAGCCCTTTGCCCTGCGCTTCCAATCTCAACCATCCCTTCTGCGGTAGCACTTGCATCCTCACTTAGGGCTGGAGCTCAAGAGCTCAACACAACAGGAAGAACACAGCGTGCAACTGGAAGATGCATCTCAAAGCTGACAAGAGTCACCTCTCTGACCTTGGGCACAACTCACCAACCGAGAGCCAGGCCTTGCAAACTTGGCTCATCTGAGCACATCAGAGGGGGCTGCACATCAGACCACAAGCATCCATTTCAATTGCAGCTCCACGTAGAGAAGAACAACGATTAACATGCATGAATGAATTCACTCACAAGCTGCACGAGTTTGTTCTTCGTTAAAAAACCCACATAGATTCCTACGCAAAAAAAGAACAGCAAGAGCTAATAGAGATGGAAGAGGTTCCTGGTCCTAAACCTCATTCTCTTACCCCAATTTTCCTTGCCTCGTACCCTACCACAATTCCTGGACGATGCCCACAGACTTAAACTCTGACCTCAACTCCATGAGCTGAACATGAACAAATCTACCCCAGAGCAACAGGATGGCAGACACACAGCGGAAGACAACCAACCTGCAGAACCAGCTCCATTGGGGTTGGTCCAGATGTTTGTATGCTGCCTTCCTGGCCCAGGCCAAGCTTGCTGAGCTGCTCC